TTTTTTTTTTTCTCACCAACACTCAAGTTGTGTGATCGATTTGTTGTGAAGTTGAGCTTGAGCTCCAGCAAAAAGAAGGAGCAATACTAAAGAAAACAAAGACAGGTTTTTTTTCATTTGGAGTGAGAGAATTCTCATTTGTATCGGTAAGACAAACTTTTGCATTTCTTTCTCTCATTGTGTGATCTTGTTTGTGGAGATGAAAAAGAATATTTACTTTTGCATTTCTTTCTCTTTGTGTGATCTTGTTTGTGGAGATGAAAAAGAATATTTTTAACATTTCAGTCTGTTCTGGGTGGCTAATGAAGAATAATGACAATGGGAACTTAAGAGTTCATGGCTTCAAATTGTTTGAAGAAGGAAAATAATGATTTTGTAATACTTCGATTTCTGATACAGACGATCGTCTATAAGACGCAACTGTAGAGCATACTTTCGTCATACTACAAAATGAGCTCTAGAGGTTAGAGACTCGTGCTGATAACGTGTTATAAAATAGAGAGAAAGAGAGATAATAGAGAAAATATTTCTCTTAGGTGCATTTTTCATTATAACTGAAGCTCCTATTTATAGGAAACTTCTGATGGCACAACCGTAATAATACAATTACATCAAGGATAAAATAGTCATTCACATATATTACAAATAATTATTTATAGATAACATTCTCTTTAATGCAAATCCTCTCATTGTTGTTCCTTTTATCTCTTTCTATCCGATAGTTTGTTAGATTGAGTTTGTGTTATACGTCGTTATCACTTCACATAACACCCATATTATATATTATCTATGTAACTTCTATTTCTTCACGTCATGTCCTTTTTTTGCCATTTGTTTCATTCAATTATAAGTATTCATTTTGCTAAATTAGCCTAAACTCTAATTCCACAATGTCAACCATGCAGAGGTCACAAAGGAAAAAAATGACCATATTCGATTTTTGGAAAATACTACAGTCCCGTCACGGAATCATTCCATCGGATTTTATAACCGTTAGATCATCATGTAACTGTCGGAGATAGTTGATCTATAGGTTACAAACTCCGACAAGATGGTTCGTAATGTGACCGTAGCATCTCCCTCGGAATCAACAATCGAATTTAGGGACACTCATCGAATGTACCAAGCTTCCGAGTACACGCACATGAACCGAATTAAAACCCAACACTCCTTATTATCATTTATTGAATAATTTTTAGAAACACAAA